AAACTAAAACTTTACAATGCAACGATGAAGGATGATGGCTATTAAAACTAAAACTCTATAATTTACAATCAGTGTTGGAGTCGGATTCTACAATTTGTGTGTAAGATATCTATGTTGCAGAAAGAGTCTATGTTGGAATCAAAATTAATATGTTGCTTTCCTCTAATAATTATATATATTATATGTCTATTTAAAAATATTTTACTCATTTGAAAAACGAAGGCATATAATGAAAAAGAGAGAAAAGAAAAAAAAGAAAAGAAAAATGAAAGTTGAGGATAAGGGTTTATAAGGTAAGATCTAGAGGTTTTTATACTTAATTCTATTGGATGACTTAAGATAATTGATGTTTTAGGGTTTTAGTTTGGCTTAAAATAATTAATATAAAGACTAAAGTTATGAGTTTTTGAGGAATAAGTTGAAAATTTTAAAGGATCTAAATTTCGGAAGAATGGCTTATCAGGATTCTAAAATCCTAATCAATTGGTCAAGTAGTTTATCTGAATTGGTTGACTGGTTGGTCAATTTAGTCGACTAGTTGGTCGATCAATAAGGATTGATCGGTTCAATTAGGTTTGGTTAGTTTTGGTAATGCCTATGATCAATCATACAGATTCGTTTCAGCTTTATTTCTAGTAATTTAAAAATATTGGTGGAATAGCATAATGTTTGGGAGAAAAATTGTGTTTTATTCGGAGTTTGTGGAAGGCCTGAGAAAGACAAAATTGAGGCCAGAGTTTGACCTAAAAGCATGAAAAAATAAAGAAAAAAAGCAAACTTTTAGAGATTTTATGAAAGAAAAAAGGTATTGTTTTAAACCCATATATAAAACAACATTGTTTTATGCTTTTTTTTCTAGCGAAATATATTATTTTATTTAAACTTTTTTTTTTAACATGAAATGAAGTTGTTTTGATATAAACAATTTTTTTATGTTTTTGTAGAGGTCCTTTAATTTCTAAGCTTTTTTTTTTTACTTGTTCTTTGGATCTTCAGGTTTATTTTTTATTTTTTTACTTTCAGCCAATTTGAACCTTTCTCTTAATATTGACTTTCAATTTCATCCAAGATTGCATTAAAACAGTCCTTGCATACTATAATATTTTTCAATTTAGTCCTTGACTCTTTAATTTTCAATTATTTAGCTAATTGTAACTAATTTTTCAACATTTCTTCTTAACTACATAGTTTTCTTCTTCTTTTCTTTATTCTTTTCATTTTTCTTTGATTGAAATATTTTTTTCTCTTTTTTTTGCCTTTTGTTTATATATTTGAAAGGGGTTAGAAAATGAGTTATGATAATATATTTTTATATTTTTGGAATTTATTAAAAATATGTTAAGGTTGTATGCCTCAACTTTCTTAGTTTTCTTTTTCTTTTGAAATTAAGTCATTTAATTTGAGTAAATATTCTCTTTTAATTTTAAGATTATATATTTTATTAATTATCTCAAGTATAATCCTTTAATTTATAAATTTGTTTGAAAGGACGAACTTCATTGTGGATCAAAACTGTAATTATAATTATCTTGTTCTTTTTATATACCACAATATATTTGTTTTGACTCTTTTTTAATTATAAATATATGTTCATTTGAATCTTTCTTGGTATCTTCATTACTATTAAAATTTAATAATAAACTGAGATGTCGGTTTTTAATTTTAGATTTTATCTCTATTTCTAATTCTTGCATTTGCCTTTTCATTTTACATTAACTTTTGTAATGACCTTTTTACCACACTTGTAACATATTGGTTCCTTTTTTATTTTTTTATTTAATATATATATATATATATATATATATATATATCTTATTAGTTTGGTGTGGATTGTAAGATTTATTATGAGGTTTCATTGATAACTAGTTTTATATTTTTGTTTTTGTTTTTGTTTTATCAAATGGCTATTAGAGTTTCATATCTATATTGTGTATCATAATTCTTTTATACTTTCTTTAAAAAAAATTTTTTCACTTTTTCTTTGAATTTGAGATCAACACATAAAGCTAGTCTTTCATTATTATGAATAATTAAATCATCATATAATAAACTTTCATAAGGGATTATACCTCTACAAAGACTTCTAAATTGTGCCCTAACCTTTTCCACAAATAATTTAGGAAGTTTTGCTAGAAACTTTTCTTTCCAAAACTTTTGATAAAAATATCTCTTTATATCATCTAAAGTCTTGATGCTTTAGAAATGTTAAATTCAATAAGATTTCAAAATATATTTTTTTTAATTACTGAAGGTGTCCTATAAGATATTTTATTATTGTAAATATTAATATTGATATTGCATTTTTTTTCTAAATACTTTTCTTAAAATTAAGATTTCGAAATACTTTTATTAAAGTTAGTGAATCAATGAGCTACCTTTTTATCCATCTTTATTTGAATTTAATTGCAATTTCAGTCATGGTAATTAATTTCTTGAAGAGTATTAATTATATTATCTTCACTTTCAACGTCAATATTTCATTATACAAACTATAATTATAATAATTTTGAATCTTTGGTTTTTGATATTGGAGTCTTGATCCTTTAATTTCGTTAATGGTTAATTAATTCTTCTCTAAATTGTTTTGTCAATGCGTCAATGTCATTTTAAGGATTGGCTTGAGTACCTTTTAATTAATGACAAATTAAAGTTTGTGATTCTGAATCTATAAGTTTTTTAGTTATAATGTTAAGAAACAAAGTTAATATTTGAACATTTACAATTTTTGAAGGTATAAATAAAGGTTTAGCGATGGACTCTATATATACATTAAAAGGAAGATAATATATGATTGATGAGTTATATAGGATATTAGATATTTTACCGTGCTTTATCATGGATTAGAAATTAAAAAAAATAAAAAATTTATATATATAGGTTTTTTCAATATATTTTTGTAGTTAAAAAAATATATGAAAATAAAAAAATTTATACATACAAAGACTCAAATAAATCGAGAACTATATATATTAATAAATAAATAAAACATAAATGATAACTAAAAATAAAAATAAAAAATTAAAAAATATAAATAAATCAAGATATTTAATTTTGCAAGTTAAGATATTTATCCAGTTGTGTTTCTTAATTTATTTTATTAAAATAATTTTTTTATTTAAGCAAATAATAATAAAAATACAAATTAAATTAAATTAATTGAATAAATTAAAAGAAAAAAGAATATTATGCACATATTATAAATATTATCTGAAAATAATTTTTTTACTTTAAAAAATAAAGTTTTTTTTTTACAAAAGATAAAGAAAACATTATAGATGAATCACAAAAACTCTTCAAAATTTAAATATATAACAAAAAAATAATAGTTACTTAAAAAATATATTCTAAACAAAATAAAAAAAAGGGTATTGATCTAAATACAAATAAAAAAAATAGAAAAAAAACTATATGAATAAATTAATTTAAAAATAAAAAAATAATAATTTTTAAAAAATAGAAAAGGTCGGGTGCTGCTAAGCCTGATCTATTTTATCATGGCCCAGACGCTGACTTTTATTTGTTTTTCATTTCAATTGGGTCTATATTTTTTTAAAACAAAAAATTAAACAATATATCATCTTATTTGCCCTATTTCTTCCACTATAGTAGCTGAAAAATTAAAATTTATTTTTCTTATAAAAAAACCTTTTTTAAATGCTTTTTTACCTAAAACATCTACAAACCACCTTAGAAACTATGAAAAATCTATTTATATTCTCTAAAAATCAAAAGTAACAAAAAATAAAATAAAAAAATTGAATTCAGATTTGACATAACCATTTGACCCGAACTTTAAAGATATAAAACACCTAATATGAACTCATCATCGAACATAACCATTTGACCTGAATATCAACTGTTTTGATGGTCTAAATCAATATTAATAATTTTTTTTTATTGTTGGAATTTAGCGACTTCTCTCTCTCATATCTCTTAAGTAGAGGCTAAAAAATAACAAAAATAAATTTTTGTATCAGAATTTAATTTGAAAAAAATTGAGCACCAAAATCGTATAATTTGCATTGTTTCTAAAGTTAGAGGGCTAAAATGTATTTTTCCTAAAACTTTTGTGACACCACCCATTTTTAATGTCTTTTTAATTTTGGTTTTTATTCTTTAAATTCCATCTTGTCTAAGAAATCAAAATTAATTAGCATTTAATTAGAATCAAATTATCTAAAATAAAAATTTAAGGATCAAAATATTTTTTTTAAAATTAAACAGAGTTATCCAAAGTGTTTTGAAAGGAAATGAACAATATCGGCCGCACAATATTTACCCCATACATTTTAGTTTTTAAATAATTAATTTTATTATTTATAATTATTGAGAAACTGTATAAGTTACTTTATTATGTGAGATTGTACAGAATTAATATCTTTTCGTGAGCTTTGAGCATTTGAATCAATTTTTGATGATTTAAAATGAGTTGATGTTATTTTTGTATGATAAAAATCTTTTTTTTTTTGTTCAGAAGAGATGCATATAGTTAATATGATTATTTGAAATTATATATAGTTTTGCTCAGCTGTAATTTGAATATTTAGTTAACTGAGTTGAAATTTAGGTTTTTTGTTTAGATTAGATTAATATATTTCATAATGTAATAACATTTTAAAAATAATAATAATTATTAATACTATATAGTATAGACTTTTCCCTAGACTTTATGCTTATTTAACATTATATTTTTTTTTTAAATTATTTTTTACTTGAAAACATCAAATTAATATTTTTTAGTATTTTTTATAATTTCAATATACTCATTTAAAAAATATTATTATAATATATTTTTAATTAAAAATATTTTTAAAAAATGCACAACACTGGAATACAAAATACACACTTTAGTTTGAAACGAATATATATATATATATATATATATATATATATATATATATATAATGGTTGTTTTTTATTTTGAAATTAAAAATAAAAAATAAAAAATAAAAAAGTTTGTTCGTCAAAACGACAATAAAACAGGTTATTAGAATTCTTATACAAAAGCAACACAGAAGACAAACTGCAGCTGAAAAATCTTACGCTTTCTGATCAGATTCAACACACAAAAAAAACCAACTCACTCTCACCCTCCCCCCCTCTCTCTCTGCGGTTGGGTTTCTCAGATGAGGGAATTTAACCGCCAAATCGAACATCCATTATCAACCTCATCACTGACAAAACCACCCCGATGAAAATAAAAATCATGATCGGCCATCATAATCTCTCAACATTTCCATTCAAGTCCTCTTTGTTTTTAGCTCTCCTTTCCCTTTCTCTCTTCCATCTTTTCTCCAGCCCCTCTCCCATTTCCCAAACCCTAGCCCCCCAAAACTACATAGTCCGTTTCAAAGACTACGAGAAATCGGATCATCACCGTCGCTATTTAGAATCGAGAGTCAAATCGGACGGCTGGAAATGGATCGAGAGGAGGAATCCGGCGATGGACTATGCCACGGATTTCGGAGTGTTGGCGATCCAGAACGAGAGAGTGATTGGAGAGATTGAGAGGTTGGAGATGGTGAAAGATGTGAACTTGGATATTAGTTATACGAAAAGGGATTTGCTTGGTTTTGTTGATGGCGAGAAACGACCTGGCAAGATGTTTACTTCCATGTCATTTAGTGACGCTGAAGAGAGTTATGCTGTGGCCCAGACCAGTAATTCTTCTATTCATTGGGGTCGCCAACTTTTAGGGCAGGTATTGTCAGGGTTTTATTTTTATTCTTCTTCATGGCTGTTTTTTATTTAATGCATTATTGTAGTTAATGTCTGTAGCTGTAAGTGATTTTGCTCCTATACAACGACGCAAGGCTTAACTATGAAAAAAGTTTTTTTTTTTTTCGGGTGATTGGAAGTGGAAAGTGAATTTGAAGGATTTCAGATGGGCCATTATCTGCCACCCAAAGTTTTCTTTAGACCCTTTTCTTGTATTACGATCACTCGCTCATTGTGTTTGTAAGTGTTGCAGAAGTCACAGGTGACTTCCTTGTTTGGAGCAGATGTTCTTTGGTCAAAAGGGTTTACTGGTCATAAAGTCAAAATGGCTATTTTTGATACTGGAATTCGAGCTGATCACCCGCATTTCCGCAATATTAAGGTATAATCTCTGCACAAGCAAGAAAAATAATTAGATTCTGTTTCAATATTATTCCTTTTGGCTGAGAAACTGATACTGATATGTGCTCCCCTGTAATTTTTTTAGGAGCGAACAAACTGGACCAATGAAGATACTTTGAATGACAATCTTGGACATGGAACTTTTGTTGCTGGTGTTATTGCTGGTCAAGATGCAGAGTGTCTTGGTTTTGCACCTGATGCAGAGATTTATGCATTTCGTGTGTTTACAGATGCACAGGTAATGATTGTCATAGGTGTATTTTTCAGCTTATCTTGTTTCTCACCAATGAGATTTGAGAAAGCACATATAATGCTTCGTCTTGTTATTTGCATCTCATTTTATCCCCTAATTGGTTGAAAAGCGCCTTCCCTAATTTGTTCAATTCAAAATGTATTTATATACAATAGAAATGTTAAAAGAAAAGACTGGTGTATCCTGAAGGCTGGAAGGATTCCCCTCTAGATTAGATGTTTCTTATTCAATCTTATACATTTATAAGCTATAGACGAGTAAATAAGCATTGCTTTGAGAAATTATTTAATTCTGTCTGAAGTATATCTTTCAAGCTTCACTTTAAACTTAACATCCTTAAGTTTAATTGCTCTGTAAAATGTGGCAAGATTATGAGAAATTTTTATTCAGCCTATTGCAGGTATCTTACACATCATGGTTCCTTGATGCATTTAATTATGCTATTGCAATCAATATGGATGTGCTAAATTTGAGCATCGGTGGACCTGATTTCTTGGATCTACCATTTGTTGAGAAGGTAAGATTCGTCTTGCCTGCTTATTTCAGGTTTTTGCTATTTGGCATGATTCATATAATTATTCTGTTTGCTATGTGAAGCAATGATTCACTTGTCCTCATGTCCATTTCCAACTGACCAACTGCACATGTCCTTTAAATAACTGTCTTGATAGAGCTAAATCTTGTGCCTTACTGCCACCACTATTGTGTGACCCATTTTCCCAGCTGGCAAGGGATCACTTTTTAGATTTGCCATCTTTTGTGGTGACTTCATTCACAAAGTCTTGTGGGGGCAACTTCTGAAATTTTTGTTGGTAATCAATACTGACAGTGATTCTTCTACTTGATTGTTTGTTACTTATTGATCAGGTCTGGGAAATAACAGCTAATAACATCATTATGGTTTCTGCTATTGGAAATGATGGACCTCTTTATGGAACATTAAACAATCCAGCAGACCAATGTGATGTTATCGGTGTTGGCGGCATAGATTACAGCGATCACATAGCCCCATTTTCTTCGCGTGGCATGAGCACTTGGGAGATTCCTCATGGGTAAACTATTATTCAGACAACTTTTGGTTTTGGTTGCCTTGTTATATATTTGTATTTTTGCTTTTCTTCTTGGAAACTGCAATAACTATTTTATAAATCAATTTTTTCTAATAATATCGTATGAAATATCTATGTTTGGGTTCTTCTAAACATGCACTGAGCAAGAATGTGATGAAAAAAGGAAAGACAATCCTGCTTATCATGGAGCAGATTTTGAGCTTTCTTTGAGTTCAAGATCCGCTTCAATTCTGATCCATCTCTGCATCAGATACTGAATCCAAACGGGAGCAGAAATAGGGGGAGGAGGGTGTGCATCTATTCCACCTGGCCCTTTCTAATCCCTTGGGTTTTCACAGTTCATCCCCTTTCATAACGAGGATTCAAATCTACATTCACAATCTGTCTCATAATGACTTAGCCTTTCCCCAACCTATATATATATATATATATATATATATTTGCATGCACAAGTATGTGTTGTGTCGTTGAACCGAAGAGTCTCAAAGTCACTTATTTTCACGTTGCCCAATTGTGAAGGAAACATGTTGCATGTAATTTTCTAGGTCATGCTATTCGATCTCTAATGGCCCACCTTGTTTTTTTTTTCCCTGTTGGAAGAGGTCATGAAGAGTTAGCTCTTGGAGTATGACTTTTTCTCCAATTTGCTTCTGTAATTCTTTCCAGCTGTTGGAATAATTTTCATTTGAAAAAATTCTGTATGGGCTTGCTTGTTATGTGGACGGATGATTGAACTCTAACTATTTAAATTTTCTGTACAGCTACGGTCGTGTGAAGCCCGATGTTGTTGCATATGGACGGGAGATCATGGGATCCAAGATAAGCACTGGTTGTAAAAGTTTATCAGGGACTAGCGTGGCTAGTCCTGTGGTTGCTGGTGTGGTATGCCTACTTGTCAGTGTTATTCCTGAAAGTGCTCGTAAGGACATTCTGAATCCAGCAAGCATGAAACAAGCTTTGGTTGAGGGGGCTGCTAAGCTCGCTGGTCCGAATATGTATGAGCAGGGTGCTGGAAGAGTTGATCTGTAAGTTTTTTTTTATGTGCAGACTTTATTTCTTTGTTAGTCCTGCTATTATTACATTTATTTTTCATGCATCAGAGGTTTCTAGTTGATGAAATTAAGGATGTTGTTGGGTAGAGTAAAGCTCATTAGAAAAACCTTGAATGCAGTTCTTGTGTTTTTTATTTTCGTATCTTGCCTTATTTTTTAATTGAAACCAATAGAAAGTTTTCTATTAATTATCATCTGTTCCTGAGTTTGTCTGGTTTTTGCTAATAGTTATCACAGGATTCTGTCAGTATCACTGCTTCTAACTGTTTTTTCTCTGTCAGATTAGAATCATATGAAATCCTGAAGGGTTACCAACCTCGGGCAAGCATCTTTCCAAGTGTTCTTGATTTTACAGATTGCCCTTATTCCTGGCCCTTTTGTCGTCAACCACTTTATGCAGGTGCTATGCCTGTTATGTTTAATGCCACCATTCTGAATGGAATGGGTGTCATTGGCTATATTGAAAGTGCGCCAACATGGCATCCTGCAGAGGAAGAAGGAAATCTTCTAAGCATTCACTTTACTTATTCAGAAGTTATCTGGCCTTGGACTGGTTATTTAGCATTGCACATGCAAATCAAGGAAGAAGGTGCGCAGTTCTCTGGGCAGATTGAGGGTAATATAACTCTTAGGGTGTTTAGTCCTCCATCTCCGGGTGAGAAGGGCCCTCGAAGCAGCACTTGTGTGCTTCAGCTGAAACTAAAAGTGGTTCCCACTCCACCAAGACAGAAGCGTGTTTTGTGGGATCAATTTCACAACATTAAATACCCTCCTGGATATATTCCAAGAGACTCTTTGGATGTTCGCAATGATATCCTTGACTGGCATGGGGATCACCTGCATACAAATTTTCATATCATGTTCAACATGTTACGAGATGCTGGGTACTATGTTGAAACTCTTGGTTCGCCTTTCACATGCTTTGATGCTCGCCAATATGGGACACTGCTGCTAGTGGATCTTGAGGATGAATACTTTCAAGAAGAAATCGAGAAACTAAGAGATGATGTTGTCAGTACTGGATTGGGATTAGCTGTTTTTGCAGAATGGTATAACATGGATACAATGGTGAAAATGCGATTCTTTGATGATAATACAAGGAGCTGGTGGACTCCTGTTACTGGAGGTGCGAATATCCCAGCATTGAATGATCTTCTGGCCCCATTTGGGATCGCTTTTGGAGATAAGATTCTGAATGGGGATTTTTCCATTGATGGAGAGCAAAGTCGATACGCATCTGGAACTGATATTGTGAGGTTTCCAAGAGGTGGGTATACTCACGGTTTTCCCTTCCTGGATAGCTCAGAAAGTGGGGCCACCCAAAATGTGTTAACTTCGGGCACGACCAAGGTAAAATTCATGATCTTCACTTTGTAGTTTGTGCGATGTGTTCTTCCCAGGGAACTATTATTGAGACAAATTTTAGTTTGACAATTTTTTTTTCCTCGCTGAGTAGTGGGGTATCTGCGGGTCCTCCTTTTGGGCCCCCATAACTTGTCCTCTAGCCCTTGTGTTGACAAGAGCGCATGTTGTTCTTTTAGGAGGACGTTTCATGACTCGTGGCCCACAAGAATTAGAAATTACACTAGCTATTCAAGGGTAGGATTTGAACCCAAGACCTCCCAATGACTTAATCATAGTCCTTATCATTTGTATATTTTGGGCCATGATAATCTAGCAGTTCCCTTTTTCGGCCAATTTCCAATTTCATTGTGTCAGACGCTGTCAAATGCTGTAGGACCCTCCAACAGACATGATAAGTGTTCATTTATTTATGGCGTCTGTTATAACTGCAGGCAGACTCTTCAATTCTTGGCCTTGTAGAGGTGGGAGAAGGACGCATAGCAGTTTATGGAGACTCCAACTGTCTGGATAGCAGCCATATGGTCACTAACTGTTACTGGCTCCTGAAGAAAATACTGGATTTCACAAGCAGGAACATTAGAGATCCATTGTTGTTCCCAGTTTCAGCTAAAAAAGATGCGGCCCTATTTGTAGATGACAATCAATTACCTACTCGTCGTACTGATGTAAATTTCTCATCATATTCTGCTGTTGTGGGGAAGGATTTAATCTGCAAGAGTGACTCCAGATTTGAAGTATGGGGAACTAAGGGATACAATCTACATGTTAGGGGAAGGAATAGAAGACTTCCAGGCTATCCTCTTATAGATCTGGGGAGGGGTTTGAATTCTACCATTGATACTTCCAATTTGAGGCGTCCAAAGGACACTCAGAAAAATAAGGTTGACTCGTTGGGAAACAGGACTTGGGGCATGCTCTCCAGGGATGAGGTAAAATATGAACATTTTGTTTCTCTTCCCATATCTTGTTGTGCGGATGGTTGTGACTATCTCTATTTCCATTTTTCGTTTGCAGGCTGATGTACCAGTGCTAGTAGCTAGTCATTGGCTCCTACCTGCAGCAGTAGCAATTACTGGTCAGTGAACATCATTAAATAGGTAAATTTGAAGAACATTTTGAGGTTTTCATTGTATATTTGACTTGCATTTTGCTTTTTAGGCCTTTTGTTGTTGAGCATTTGGCACATTCGGCAAAGGCGGCGAAGGAGGAGGAGAGGGTCAGGTTCCGGCCGACTTGGCAATTTATAGCTAAAAGAACAATCATTTTGATAACTTCTCTCCTATTTTCTCGCAATCTGAACTTTTTTTTTTTTAACTGTAACGTTGTTACGAAATTGAGCGTGCTGTTGCCGGCATCATAGTAGAATTTAGTTGTATTTGCTGTAGAATTAATATTATACTTTTGGTCTGGATGCTTGCAGTGCCACAAATTTTTAAAGTAATGAAATCACCATTTCACCAAAGAGTTGATCGAGTTTTACCTTGTGTTAAAAAAATATATATATATATGTTATCAAGATTGATTTAACGCTTTTTGTATAAACAGAAAAATCCTGTATTTATGAATAATTTTATCTGATTGTTCTCAGCTTTTTATTTAATGAACTAGGCTGCTAATAATTAAAAAAATATTAATTTTTATTTGTTATTTTTTATGTGAATATTTATTTTTATTTTATAATTAAATAAAAAAAGATTTTACAATTTAAAGTTGTAAAACTTGTTTGTGCACATGGCCTAGATCATAGATCATAGGTTAGGTAGTGGGATGGATGAATTTATTCTGGATAATTTGGGTTAATTTAAAATATTATTATTTTAATATTTTAAAAAAACTAAAATAATGTTACTATAAACTTAAAAAAAAAAAAAGGATTAAATCAAGTTTTGATTAGGTTAACCAAGTTAAAAGAAAATCTATTTAGTTAAATTTTATTTAATTTTAATTTAAAAATTTGGTCAAATCAAGACAAGATTAACAAGTTCATAGGTTAACTCATTAGGTTAAACCATGTATAATAATTTTATTAATTTTATCAAATAGTTTCTTGTGATAGCTTTTATTATAATAAACCAAAACATTTATTATCAAATAGTTTCTTTTCAACTTTTTTATCTAATAAATTTAGTCATCATTTATTTAATATCTATTTATTTTACTTTCTTTAATATATAGTGGGTCCATTATGTGCTCTTTCAGAACCACATGTGTCTTTGGCAATATGGTAAATAAAACATACCCGAAGAGTCCATGGATGTCTTAAAATGCAGGGTCTGGCCCATATAGTTAAAGAACTATATAGACTTTATCATTACTTGTTTCCCATGATCTATCAAAAGTAAAAGTAGCACCTTCCCCTCAGCTAAACAAAATTATTAATAATAATAATAAATACTCTCTTGACTTATATTTACCATTCTTTTCTCCAGAAATTATCTCTTAACCAGATTTTTATACTTGCCTGCTTCTCAAATAATAAGATAAATTAAAAAAAGAAAACATGAAATTGATCAAAGGTCTACATTAAACATATTTAAGAAATAACGATTAAATTCAAAGATTTTGAAACCACAATAATTTATTAATTAATTGTATTAAACTAAAAGAATTAAATGGGGATTGAGAAGGTGACAAATCTCAATTAATTTATCCGGTATAATTAGTTACGCCAATCTCTAGAGGACTGCGATTATACTTCGAAGGGCATTACACCTCATAAAAAATCAAATCAAGCCCTAGTTGTATATGCTCCATCATATTATTATTTTTCATGTGTTGGTAAACTTAATTATCAAGCTTTTACAAAGATTCATATAAGATTTATATATGTTTTGATATTTTTTAAAATATTTTTTATTTAAAAATATATTAAAATAATATTTTTTTTAAAAAAATATTTTTTACATTAATCTCTTAACCAGACTTTATAATTTCTCGGTACTTATAGTTTTTGGGATGTTTCAGAGTGTAATCACAATTATTTTTTAAAGTATTTTTTACTCGGAAATATATTATAATAATATTTTTTATTTTTAAAACATAATTTTTAACATGAGCATATTAAAATAATTTAAAAATAAAAAAATAATATAAATTTTTATAAAACACAGTTTAAAATGCAATTCCAAATAGAGCCTAAATACCCATTTTAAAAATCATACTTTCACTTTTAGTAATGGTATTCATAGCAAGAAAATATATTAAAGCAAGATATCCAATTATTCCATCTATGAGAAAAACTGGGATACACAATACTCTTGATTTGTTTTCTTCATATTATTGAGAAACTTTTCAACCTCTCATGTCTTAGCATGACCTGTGCTCTTGTCCGAGTTTGATTCGTTTTGTTACCAGGAATATTATTAAATATGTCTCGCGGAATTATTTTAAAAAATAATTTAAAATAAAAAAAAGCAATTCTTTTACAAAAACACTTTCCACCCAAAAAAGCTAACAGTAACTTGTAATTCTCCCACCACAGGACCATTGGTGACAACTGACAGCAGCTTTTCCCTTTTGCTTTCCTTGTTCGTGGGTGTGTGTGTAATCCCTTTCTTTTGAAGGCTTTAATTGTGTGTGTAAAGTGGAATCTGAATAGCCGATGGCCTTGCAATATCACAAGTTGAGCTGTAAAATAGCTGGATTGATCTCATCTGGTGCCTGTTCGCAAAATAATTTTAATGTTCTTCGTATCTTCATTTCCATCTTCACAGCGATGCTCTCTTCCGGGCTTCCGTCTAATATTTGGACCTTTGGCAGTAGGTGCACCAGTCTAACTGCTAGCCAAGACTGTGCCACCTGTTTCCTCCAGAATCCAGCAGGTGCATGCCGTCGTCGTAACGTGGGTGGGGTCACAAAAGCTAGAGTGGTCAACAGCCCAAAAGCTGTCTACTAGCGAGAAAATAATTTTCTATATTGCTGGGAGAAAACCATGCCCCAGTACAAATCATGAGGTGGCGTGGCCATTCTCTCTTTAGCTAATTTGGTGTGACCACTGACCGCCAAGTCATTTTCAACGATTTTGTACGCAACGAAAAACTTGGCCTGACGCTCTGCTCGGTGGGGACTGACTGGCTTTCAAGATTTTGTTTAATGACGACGAGAAGGGAGAAAGTTGATTTATGCAAGAAAGTCCTGGTGAATTATAGGCGCATTCAGACAATACACGTTCAGACAGAAACCTTTGCGGAGCACGTTCAAACTATTGGATGGAATCCGTTTCAAAAGCTGGCCCTGATTCGTCACGCCTGCAGGCTTCAGCAATTGTTTAACAAAAGCCGGAGGCCCTAATCCCCGACCACCCCTTGTTCCATCGCCGATATCAGAAACAGGACCTTGTGCTGTTGATTCAGGTAGGTTGGCTAGTCCCTAATCAGACAGCTAAGCTCGAGCTTACGGAATGAGCTTGATTACAAAGCAAAAGGGACTCGAAACCAGTGCTTACCCTTAGAGCTTCTTCAAGATCTTACTGGACCAAGGACGTCGGCCCCGCAGTGATATTTATTTATTTCTTTAAAAAAACATAGGGGGCATTTTTCTTGCTTTAAAACAGCCTGTATACTTGCGAAAGGCGAAAGGCCAGAAGGGCCGGAGACACCTCTGGCAACCATGCCTCAACAAAATCTAACCTAATGGTTAAACCACAATCCAAGAGAAAGATGATGCACAAAAGGCACGCAAGTGGCTACAAATTTCACAAACTTGCTATCAACATTTAAAGAAAGAATAAAAGAATCAGCCAAGCTGTTTCATTGTTTTCTTGTATGTAAGCACTATTAGATACATGTAGTAAAAACAAACTTCAAAATCAGTAAAAAAAAAAAATTGTGTTTTCGCATCCAAAACATGCCTTCTTGCAATCAATTAATACTAAGAGGAAAAGGGATGGGTCTTTACAGAAAATTAAGGCTGTCAGTTGTCACGAACTTCCACTAAAACCTTTACTAGCCTTCTTCATCTTTCCCATTTCCATTTCGCGGGTGTTCTGGCCTTCACTGCTCGAGCCAGAAGGGTACAAGCCGTATTCACTGGTTGGTCCACTGTACTCACTGCTTGCACCATATTCCTGACTTCCTAATGCCATCTTCCTGAATTTTTTCATGTCCTCATTGTATTGGCTGGTGTCATAGTCTGAACTGCCATATGAACCATAAACTCTGCTATTCCCAGGTCTTATTCCTTCATTAAGATCAGAGAGAGACACATCTCCTTCCAAAGCTCGGACTACCTGCTTGGTTATGAGTTGAAGATATCAATTAGGATAGTTTATACATGACCATGGCCTATATCATCAGACACTTTTTTCAATAAATGGTCTTTGTCCATGTACTAGAGTGAGACAGTATATCAGGAGATCACAAACATCTACCAGGTATTCAGTTTGCTTCTGAAAAGAGTATTTAAGCTTCATTCAACTAATTACCTGACTGGTGCGTGGTCGACGGCGAGCTGAATGACGCACACAAGCAGCCGCACAAGCAACCATGCGAGCCATCTCATTTTGATCATAATTATTTTGCAGCTTTTGATCAACCAGGGTATCGAAGTTTCCATCTTCCAAAGCCCGAGTCAGTAAAGGCCTCGCCTACAAACGCAAATATAGATTGATGTAACATCCAAAACTTTGTCCAATTAGCTGTTTATTTGAAAGCATGTGTATATGTTTGCCAGCGTACATGTTTTATAAGTTTATTCATGCATGTGCGTTTGTAAGACCACATAGGATGAGTTAGAGCTTACCCAATCAACCAAACTGTCCTCCATGAAAGACTGAGTTGAGTCAACAGGTCGACGACCAGTGATCAATTCCAGAAGCATGACCCCAAAGGAGAAAACATCTGATTTGTCTGTTAGTTTTCCACTTGAAGCATATTCCGGAGCCAGATACCTGGATTTAGAAGCACATGAACAACACAGAATTTCCATATTAACAGTCATCCACAGTGATATCTGACCAAAGGAGGTTACACCTCAATAGAAAACGAAACTATAACAACAAATCTTGCCATCATCAAGCCAGCCAGATGAAATGTTAATGAAAATCATAAAGCCCCACAATTCAAGATGGACTATTGCAGCTGGTTTAAAGGTCTCAATGCAAATGCACTGAATGAGACCCAAAACACAGAATTCAAGAAGACTGAATTCTTAAAATTCAAAATGTTTGAACAGTTCTATGAAAACATGATCTACAAAAACAAGAACCACATCATCTGATGACAAGCACTTGGGAAAAGCAAGCAGAAGAAATCAAGGTTGTCATCTGGTTCATCTTTGAAAAATATCAACCAACAAAATTTGTATGTTGTGCGACTAGATTATTAAAGGAGTTTGCCATACCCAAAAGTTCCCATCACCCGAGTGGAGACATGAGTATTGACATCAGAAGAGATCTTTGCTAGTCCAAAATCAGCAACCTGGGAAAAAGGAAAGAAGAGAAAAGGCAATATATCATCTCCA